TTATATACCTGGATGACTGAGAAAACAAACTTTGTGTTTTTGAAACCATTAGTGAAAAGGCCAGACTTCAGGGGTATCTGAGGCAGGCTTGAAACACAAGAGTCAGGGTGGCTTCTGGGTAATACCAGATGGCTAGGCCTCAGACTGACGAAGCCTCTTTAAAAATTTCAATAGAGCCTGATTTGTGTTTGGACAGTTTTTGTCCTGTTCAGCTCTGAATTGTTAAAAATAATAACCTCATCCAAACCATTCACATGTCTTCTAGATCCCATCGCATCCAGACTGTTTAAAGATGTATTTCCCCTAATTAATGTCCACATTTTGGATCTACTTAATTTGTCTTTAATGAATGGTTATGTACCACAGAGCTTTAAGGTTGCTGTAATTAAACCTTTACTTAAGAAGTCTGACATTACGATGACTTTTTCAGTATTTAATAGTAAGTCAGTTAAGAATTCTGACCAAAACTGAGTGTAAGCACCTGGTTGGCGATATATGACATCTAGTAAAAGATTTTTTTTCTGATTTCCATTTTGGATCAAAAAGACTGAGGGACAGTGATTTAAAAAAATCATAACTAATAACTAGTTTGGCATTAATCAATAATCCTGACTGAAAAATAGAAGCTACTCCTCCACCTCAGCCAGTTGTTCTAGGAACATGAAAATTTAAATAATTAACAGGGGGGGGGGGGGAAACGGTGTTTATTTTGATAAGATTTTTATGGTTTATATTTTTAGAGCTGGTTTATTTCATTTGAGCCGTGGGCGAGTTGACACTGTTTCAATTTGGGTGTGGGTGGTGTACAGAAGAGAAGCAGCAGAGAGGTGGAGGACTACAACTCTGCTTCCTGGACTGGACCCTGGGTTGTTAATAATTTGGGGGATAAACAAAATCAGCCATATTTCTAGAAAGAAGAGCGGCTCCATCCAAAGTGGGATGGATGCCATCTCTCCGCATCAGACCAGGTTTTCCCCAGAAAGAACTCCAGGTATCTATGTAGCCCACGTCGTTGTCAGAACACCACCTGGACACCCAGCGGTTAAATGACGATATACGGCTAAACATGTCATCGCTGGTCAGGTTGGGAGGGGGCCGGAGAAAACTAAGGAGTCCGACATGGTTTTAGCAAAGTCACACACCGAAGCAATATTAATTTTAGTGGCCTCCGATTGGCGTAACCGGGTGTCATTAACGTTGACGTGAATAACAATCTTACTGTATTTAGCCTTAGCCTTAGTCAACAGTTTCAGATAAGATTCTACATCTCCCGCTCTGGCCCCCGGAATTCATTTGACTATGGCTGCTGGAGACCTAAAGCCACGTTTCGGACTATGGAGCTGCCAATAACCAGGGTCTGCTTCTCAGCGGGTGTATCACTGAGCAAGGAAAATCGATTAGAAACGTGAACGGGTCGGTTTTGAACTGGGGGCTTAGCCTTAGCACTACGCTTGCTCTGGACCATCACCCAGCCGGCCTGGGGTCCCGGCTGCTCTGGGTCTGCTGGAGGACCGCTAACGGGAGCTAACCTCTGTGGTTCCATGCTGTCTAAGAGGAACTGGCTAGCTACGTTCAGACAGCCTCTCCTCCAAAGCTACCATAAGACTACATTTGTTACATGTATCATTACCACTAATTAAGTCAGTCGAGCTGAAACTAATTGAAAAGTTGAAAAAGCTGCTCTCATTTTACCATTTTTATCTTGACTTTGTCCAACTTTGTAGTTTTTCAAGGCAGTTAATGATTCATTCATTCAACCTTTATTTAGACAGGTAAATCCCATTGAGCCTCGAGGACTCATTTACAAGAGAGACCTGATTTCAAGAAAGAATGATGACAACAATGGACAACAGTGTCAACAAGTTATAAAAAGGCATACATATGTATATATATATATATATTTTTTTTTTTTTACAAATAAGATGGACAAAAAAGTACCAAAAACAGTTAGATTATAAGGCGAATGTAGAGAACTTCATTTTTCAGGCATTTTGTTTCATTTACATTTTGATTGAAGATTCAGACATTTTGTGTTGCTGTGACCTTTAAACAAGGGTATAAAAATCAAAGAGTTTTTTTTATTTAATTTTTTTATTTTTTTACATTTTTATCGTTATTTGGGATATTCAGGTCTGCAAATGTGCACACTCTTAAAAAAAGTCAATGTTTTTCTCTATCATTTCTCAGGCGTTTGCACTCCAACAACCTCCACTGTGACTGTCACCTGTCATGGCTCTCTGATTGGCTCAAAGCCAGGCGGGGCTTGGCCCCCTTCACCCAGTGCATGTCTCCTGCCCACCTGAGAGGGCTCAATGTTCCAGATGTGCAGAAGAAAGATTTTATCTGTAATGGTGAGTTGCCTATGACACAAACCTAAATTAGATTTTCATCAAATATCCAAACTCCAGCCATCTACCAAGCTGCAGGTGCTATTGTGTATTTTATTCAAAATTCAGTTTTTTTAACCAGTTAGACTTTGCAAATCCCCCATTGTGTTTGTGTGTCTGGAGGATGAGTAGAGCACAACTTCCTCCAAAGTCTCATGCCTCCACCTCTGACCACTCTGAATGCAGCTGGCAGCAGCAGTTTTTGTTTCACTTGCTTTAAATGAGCTGAAAGGTTTGAACCTGCAGCAAGTGGAGGACCCATTAGTGTGCAGCTCCAGCAGCTTTACTGATGCTGCAGAGCAGAACCAACACTTCTGTTGGCAGCTGCAGTCCAAGAGGACAGAGTCAGAATCTTTCTGAGAGAGATACTGTGGAGAGGCGGTTAAATGACATGAAGACAGCCTATCACACTGCAAGTGGAAACATGAAGTCTACCTCAGGCTTTACAGCTGAGTGCTGAGTGAACTTAACAAAAATATTCACAATACTAGTTTCTGCTCAACAGTTGCACTAAAAACATGAATGAACATAGTTCTGCAAAGAATGACACGTTAATTAAAAACTAGAAAGTTCCTGGAGAAACTTGGACAGGGACTGCCAGGCTGCTGCTGTTTGAAATAGTTGATTTTACAGTACTATGTGTTGGGGTTTGCTCTCAGCTACTAATATACCAAATTTTAGCTGAATAGCTCTAGAAATGTGGGGGAGTGGTGATGCAGAGGTTAGAAGATGGGCATGTGAAGAAGGGGTTTAAAAGCCACTGGGACATTATGTTTAGAAAATAAACGTCTCAGTTTCTCTGATACTCCCTCAACATCTGGAATGACCACTGGTCTGGGTCTGGGTTCCTCCATTTCACCTGTTGGCTGACTGGAGTCCTGTTTGGGTTTCTTCTCTGCT